ACATTTTTCCACCTGCAGGGGTTAGTTTGTAGAAAAGGCCGGTCTCATCGGCGTTAAAAATATTTTTACTGTCATAATTTTGGCAAAGATCAGGCCAAACCGTTGTGAGCCAGTAATTAACAATATTTATATCAACTGATGCAGACATACAATTTCTCTTCTTAAAACCTTCAATCCAATTTCTGCAACACACAAAATCTGTTGCTTCTATTCTACTTCCCATTTCACTTGCTTTTTGCTGAAGAACTGGACCACTTATGGGAACATTTTCTTTTCGGTTTTGGGTAAACCATTATAAAAGTCCCTTCATGAGCTGATTTTCTGACCCTTTGACAATCTGCATTCACTTGACCATAGGACGAGAGAATCCTATCTTTTTTTTCCAGGTAATGGAAACAGTTGCATTAGGAAAATTCATTTCACCACAAGAATCACTTTGTTATATACCACTTTTAATTTTTTATATAACATCGTATTTTTCTTTCAAAGTTTTTCGTTTTTGCTTCTCTACTTGAAGGTCTGTCATCAATATTCTCCACGAAATCTAAATCACATTTTATTCTCCCGGGAATTACCGGGGGAACCCCCAAAAAAGTTCATTAAAAACGGAAAATGTATCTTAATCTCGGCGAAATTTAGTTGTGTCCGAAAGTTCACTATAAACAGTAAAAATTTACATTTGTCTCATGAGATTTTGTGAATGTATTTCAAAAAGGGTTCATTGTAACCGAGTGTTCACAATAAACGGATTTACTATATCTGAACTCCACTGTATTGCGTATTACATTAATTTTGTTTTGTGAATAAATAAGAACTCATCGAGGTTATTATATACATAGCAAATGAAAATATGATTATATAAAGTATTTAAATGAAACAAAATTTGTTGATTTGAGCTAATCATTTAACTTCAACGAATGGGTATTGTCCTACCAAAGAAAAGTTACCGGAAAGAACTTACTACTTACTACAATTTAATCAATGTACCAAACAAATGGCTTTCACCTAATAATTCATCTTCTAAAAACCCTACAATATGTTTAAAAAAAAATCAAAATATAAATTAAAACAAACACACACACGCTTGCGAATAGTTACAAAATACAAAATTGTAAAAGAAAAGTGAAAATGAATTTCCTTCTTAATTTCTTGATAAAAAAAATGATTTTTGATGATTTATTAATTAATTAAATTAAATAATAAATAATAATAATAATAATAATAAAAATAATAAATAAATAATTGATTAAATGTGTCGCATAACCAAATAATCGTTAAAAATCCATATTATGTAGTTTGAATTTACGACGTTACTATAACAACAATAATATATTATGCAGCAACTGAGGTAAACGGCATTTGACTTACAAGTTTGACACGAGCGGAGCGAGTTTTTAATAAACGAGTGACTTAAAAAGTTTACCGAACTGAGGTGGCTTTTACTTGATGAAAATCCACTTATCAAAATAAATAAGAACCAAAAGTTCAGATTTTCACGAAATTATATATATTCGCATAACAATTCTTGTGAGAATTAATTAAGGTTTTATAACCATTTTTCGTCATATATAGTAGCAGGTAGTTTGTAAATATTACATTTGATAAAGACACAATTTTCATGAAAAATATATAATTTCGTGAACTTTAATTATAATTTATTTTTACCGAACGTGTTGCATATTATACTTTTTCTACGACCGTAAGTTTTTGGGTACATTTTCGCCATAATATACTATTACAGTTATTCTATTACGTGACGTGGGGGCGATCGATTTTTTTCAATTTTGGTTTGTTTTAACTAGCCTCTGTTATCGCTTTGGTGATGCCAAAGCGTCCACGATGTCCGTATGGGTGTTCTACAAGGAGCAACAACGCACAACAAATTCGATGGAAGGATGGTATCATCGATTTAACAACCGTGTTGGAAAAGCGCATCCAAATATTTATGAACTGCCTGAATATGAACATTTATACATCTGAAACGAGAAGGTTTTATGATCCCCCACGAAACATGACGTCCAAAACGAGCACAAACCATAGATACAAGGTCTGATATTTTTGCGATTATTTTCTCGTTGATTGTACACTCATTTCCAGAATATGGACCTAAGCACATGAAAAATTAAAATTAAGTATTGGGTTTTCCGAATTTACCTATAATTAAATAGCGTAATAAGATCTAAGACTGATTATTAATTAAATAAACAACTTCTCGGAAAGGAACTAATTTGTTAAACGTGAATGTGGCGAACATTGAAAAGTAATAGTCAGTACGAGCATGAAAGGAAAATGGCAACCTAGTGAAAACCATTTAGATATAATAATGTTTTTGTACGATAAGTGGTCGCACGTCATCACAATTTTCTAGTATATAAACACTTATCGATTTCAAAAACCTGTTCCGAAGTGTAAAATTGAGCTTTTATAATAAACAACATGAAAATCGGTCGTTATTTTTGCACACAGAGGTGATGACATTGTAATGAAATGTGCATCGTACGTTGACCAATAAAAAATGTTATTCAATGAATCCTACTAAAATTTACGCAGTTATTTGTATATGCTCACCGGGTGGTATTTTTGGGATGTTCACAGCGGAGATGTGCCTACATAACATTTCGAAACATTCCTAGACCTTTGGAATATTTAATACTTCGCATGTTTTGGCACTTTCCTTAATTTCAAGTACGGTAGAGCATAAATTAGTTGGAAGTCGGTGTTTGTTGAGGTGTGGTTAGATTAAAAATCTATTTTATTTGCACATTTTACGAAAAACGTAGACCGCAGTAAAGACGCACAAAAATCCGTTATAAATATAGGAAATGTGTGTGTAATTAATTTAAATGAAAATGATACGTTTGCCTTATCGATCTGAAGGCGGCTTTGGATTGCCTAGAGGTTTGTTACAACGAAGGCAGGATTACGGTTAATTAAATTTTAACGTAATACTACACTATGTGATTAAAATTTTTGGGTATTTGTTTTGTTGCCCAAACCGTCCGCGCGAATTTATGCAAAATATAGAAGCCGTGGCGACAAACTGCAATAATTCGCAAAGATACAAAAATAACGAAAAATGTTACCTGAGAAGGGTTTACAATGAAATTTTAGAACGGTATACGAAATTTGGAACGAAAATTTCATAACAGTAGTTTTTAACGAATCAAAATTTCATTTACGTTGTATTTTATCGGAAATCTCCCTATCCTACCTGCAAGATTAATAAGTAGAAATTCCCTGGCTTGTCAGCTATAATAAAAGTAATGACTTTTCTTCAATTTTAAAACGTTTTTGATTTACCGAATCCCCCTATTGCCTAAATTAATTTCCAAAAAGTTTTCTTCGCACCCTATATTCCGTACAAAATAATTTTAAAAAAATCTTGTATGCGGAAATAATTGACAACGTTGCCATCCATATGTAATTTACTAAATTATATTATTTCGAAATATTTGAACGCCTTTTGGTACACTATATAAGCACGAGCACCAATAGAAGAAGATTATGATGCCTGGCCATTTGTTTTATTTTTTCTTTATTGTTATAAGACATGTTTATCTCAAAAACCGATAACACATGGACGAAAAAACCAAATAATCGTAAAAAATCCAAATTATGTAATTTGAATTTACGACTCAAAAATTATCGCGTTTGCATATGTATATAGTATATAATTATTTTAGTTTACATTAATCATTGAATTTTTAAAATATCTTGGATAATATTAAATTTTGTAGCGTCGTAAACCCAAACAAACCAAAACCAACTGCTGCATTCCAAAACCATCGTACTGTATGTGAAATCGCGGTGTATCGCGTATCGGCCACATGACGCAATAATTTTCAGTTGTTTCAGGTTCACGCGCCGGAATCGTCTCGCATGTATTCAAGGATGGCAATTAGTTAAAGTACAGACCGGATTGCGATCGATAACAGTACACAGGATGCCCCAAAATTTTAGTTTACAGCCTTTCCTAATATACATATAAAAAAAGTTTCTTATAAAAGTAATTCGAATTCATACACTCTGCAAAATCGAGTGCTAAATGCTGCATGGTCTCCAAAATTACTGGGTCCAGATATTCAAGAAAAAAAATGACTGAAAAATGGGCATAAGAAAATCCCTACATTTTTTGAAGCTTTCGCAGCAAGGGGGCATGAATTTCACAATTTCTCTCAAAACTCTCACATTGCCGTACCTATCTGCTGGATAAGAGTGATGGAAGCGCCGGAATGTCTAATTCACAGAGTATAATATTGATATCATAATCGGAAGGTAGTTAAATTTGCAAGGAAAAATGTTGAAACCGCTGTTTCATTTCCCCCGTTTCAGCGTTATCACCAAAGAAATACACTAACACTTTAATTTGAATAAAAATTGGTCTTTTATCTGAAACCCCTCAAAAGAAAACCGTAAACAGAAAAACGTTTTAGATTAAGGTATTAATTTTTTTCTAGTAAACACCATGAGTATCGAAAAGTACATGCCTTCATATACAAAATCAAGATAAATTCAGATATCGTTGAAGTTTTTCTCTTAAAGACTTCGAATTTAAGTTAATGGCGGAGATTCGAAAAAGGTAAGGCCTTGGTAAAAAATGAGAACACAACTCAAGTATAAAATGCATATGTAGGGATTTGTTATTAAATAAATATTATTATAACCATCGATAAAATGTGATGTGGCGAACAAAACGTTCGAAGGATCGAACTCAAGGATAAATTTTGGGGTAGGCCCAAGACGTACCTTAGACATATACATACACAGTTTGATGATGCAATTTGCAGTTAATGGACATAATGTGTTTTCGAAATACGTTAGGCTAAAACAGGGACCGTAAGCAGTATGCTTTCGGCTCGGACTTTTAATGACTTTAAAATTGCGTGGAAAACGTATGCGGATAGTGAGATAAAAGTAATAGTTTTTCACTCAAAATATGGAAGCACAATAGTTAAAGCACGCGGCAGTTGCCAATGGCAATCTAAATATTTAAAAATTACCTACCCTTAGCCTCACGGTTGGTTGGCCGCTATTATCAGAGAAATCACCCACTTAACCTCGAAGCGCGTATAACCACGCGGTGCGACACGCGGTTCACAGATATTCAAACTGTCCCGCTTTCCACGATGACTCAGAAACGACTGACTGGAACCGCCATTGGCTCGGCCGCTGTTATAGATTTTTACGGCCCGTCTAGTTGTAAAGGCGGCGCTCTGACGTCACTCAGGTATATACGATATCGGTGCTAAAGTTTTCTTGCACGTGCGGGCTTGACGCCAAATCGAGATAGTGTATCTCCAAGTATATCGTGTTGCGTTTTGACGGACCCCAACCCACATAACGATTTTATTACCTATTGGGTAAATTCATCAATATTTTATTTATTCATAATTGAGTGACAAGGAAGGAGTGGGTCAGGTATTTCTTGACTGTTGAGAGAACTAACCAAACCAACATAAATTCCATTGTCATTAATGTCAACGAGGATTCTGACGACGAGTTCTTTATATTTATATAATTTTCTTATTGAAATTTAAACCATATTTAACCACAGAATTGTAAGAAAAGCTAATAAAACATTGTCAATTTCAGAAATACATTTATTGTTTAAATTTTCCAGTACATGCCATTACCATAAACACCAGGGAAATAAGGGGTTAGCCCATGTTTCCTAATACGTTTTTATTACCCTCTTGTAATTCTAGGGCAACTATACCAAGGAAGCAACGAAGCATCTTTCCCAAAAAGAGATCCGACTTACCGCAGTTATGAAAGACACTGATATTGATCTCTTTTCATTTGGCGGAGTTAAATTTTTGCTATACCGACTGCCGGCTAAGACAATAAACCGGCTTACAATAAACCTTTGGTTAAAAGTGAAATGAACTTCAAAACATTATTAAGGGGCGCCAACCCCATAAAATTGACACACCCCAGGCTGCTGATATTTCCCCGAAAATTTAACGAATTTTTTAAGAAAATATTTCTAACAAAATGCATTACCAGCATAAGTAAGGTCTCTAGTAGTTATAGCAAAAATGTGAAGTAAAAAATTGGTTCTTTTTTTCAGTATTATATGAAATACCAATGTTTTCATTTTATTTTTAAAATTTGACTTTATAGTTAACCGCAAAAAAGATTCACTCTTCCGTCCAAAGAAATGTTTTAAAATCTTTCTGCAATGTAATTCATTCGATCTGCTTCTCAAACTCAATAAAACAACTCTGTAACAAGTAGATGTTATATTGTTTCAGCGTCACAGACGATAGTCAGTGGGCACCTTTAGGTAATCCGAGGGCCCTAAGCGGCGAATGTGACGTTAGCCGGCTGATGCAACCTCAATACTTTATTTCTTCTTCTTGCCGCCCTTGCCTTTTCGGCCGGTCTCGCCTTTTTTGGCGGGGGTGGTCATGCCGCCTCGGGTATTATTCCTAACTTCGTTCTCAGATTCATATTGCGTCTCGACCTGAAACATGTCGCCTTCGTAAAATGACTGGATTAAAAACATGTATCCCAGAGGCTCGAGAAGAGCCCTACGCGAATTTCAATACGATACGTTTGAATTTTGACCTATCTGAGAAGTTTTTGGCATTTCGAATTTGGTCACCGAATTTTGCTGTTATGCTTTTATATTTGTGCTTTAAAAAGTTTTTGTTTCAAGATATTAATTAAACAGCACTTTCCATAGAGAAGCGAACGCTTTGATAACATCGCGCGGAATATACTGCAAGATTTGACATTTCCAGGCACAGAACGTGTTTGACTGAACCAAATCATGGAAAATCCGTTCCGTCAGATCGAGTAGGATTCATTAATATTTGTTTACGTTGGCTGCTGGTCGTGTCTCCTTTGAATAGAATATCTTTGGGCTAGATGAAAACGTTAGACTGAGATATACTCTGTCTCAAAGTAGATTCTTTTGATTTTTGCCAGCATTTATCGTAGTCAATAAATTCCGGATCTGTAGGCAATAAAACAAATAACATTAGAAAGGACATATCTTTCCCTCGCCACTGGGTTATCAATAAATTGTTTATCCAATAACAATGGGTAATAATATCGTCAAAGGTTGCCTATCGTCAAAACGTAACACGATATACTTTGAGATATAATATACATACTGATTTTTTTTGAGGTATTGGCTTGAGCGGCGGCGCTTTCGGAGTTTGCAGTTCCAGTTCTAAATTCTGCTTCCGATCCGCACCCTCTGACTTTTTGCCTATTCTCAACACGAACATTTCCTTGTTCGGGTCCGAAAATTCAGTAAACTGCGCCCCGTCCGCGGTGGTGTAAACCGGTGGATTGACCACCACACCGTTATCACCCCCAGCGCCTTCGCCCTGCTGCCCAACCTTGATAGAAAAAGGTCGGTCCGGCGGTGCACCAGGCCGTATGTCGAAGGCCTATTTCCAAGTTGCAAAATTAAATAACACAAGGTAGCAACTTTTATAAGAAATACGTTTTTAAAAATTTTAAAATAAACGTGAGTTCAGTCGTTTTAACTATTTGTGTTATTTTGGCTGTAACTGCGTGTGCTCCAATTGTACTAAATTGTACTTCTCTCTACATCCTAAAAATGTTAGAATAATGTTGAGAGGAAAACTGTCAATTCAAATTTTGAATAGTTCTTTTTTTTATATTTTTTGTACATTACTTGCTTGATGATTGCGTTTGTTAGAATCAACTCTCAAGAGAAGCACTAGGGGATGTCCCGAGGTGAATTAAAAGTGTTTCTCCCTCCCAAATTTGAATTGAAAAAGTGACATGGCGTGGGGGAAAACATTCTGTTATCCCTACTCCAGATTTCCCACCTATGGGTATACGCCACTCAGTACTGTTGTTACCTCAGTATTTTGTTAGTTTATCTGAAGAAAGTTTTTGCTCAAATAGTGTTTTTTTTTCTTTTGTTTTTTTTTTTTAATTTATATAATCAGAATCCTAGAATAACCGTTTCAAAATAATCCTGATAAATTTTTAATATAATCAGTCAGTTTTATTTTGTTGTTTAGTTCAGGTACATTTTTTTGAGAATCTAAGTTGAAATTTTGCTGATCGTGACATAGTTGGTTGTAAGTAAATCGCTCGCAGTGCGTTTGAAGTAGAAGCGTTATATGACGAAGTTGTTATTTTGGACGACCAAGAGAGTGAGACCGAGACCGAATCGGTTTTTGAAGAGCAACATAATGAACATGAAAGCGAAGAAGAGCAGGTAGAAGCTGTTGATTATGAATCATTAAGCAATGAGGTCCAAGAAAGGCAAGAGAAACGTGGCTGTCCAAACTACTTACGCGGGAAAAATTGCTACCAATGGTCTCTCAACATACCTGAAGCCGGAGTGACATATACTGCAACTCCGATACTACAAGCAAGTGAAGTAACGAGTTTATTAAAAACATGGAGTATGTTTCTAAATACACTATAATTGCTCTCATTTCGTGGCAGATGCCGATTTAGAATGTAGTTGCCTGCTAAACCAGATAAATCTTAAATCATTCCACATCATACTATTTATTCAATGGAGCAGTAACTGATAAAGATCCTAATGAAACACTGGCATTTTATTATGTCAGAAAATTGTCAGAACCAATTTCCAATACAGGTAGGAATATAACATGTGATGGTGGTTCATATCTATTCCAGTATGTAAAGGATGTATGTATGTTAGGACAATTAATAAAAATAAACGGAAAAATCCAAAGAAATTCTTTCATCGTTTAATCCTAAAGGCAAAAAGAATGTATTATTATTGTCTTCTCATCATCGTAGTGCTCAAATCAATTCTGTAACTGGAATGTCGGAAATTTTAATGTTTTACAATAAGACAAAAGGAGGCACTGACAGTTTCGATAAAAATTGTCATTATTTTTTGCGACTGCTAGAAAAAACCCTGAGATGGCCAATGTGCCAATGGGAAATTTTAATGCAATGCTAAACCAAGCTAATATAAATTCTTTCGTTATTTATAATTTAATAAGTAGTAATGAAAAGATATCTCGTATTTTATATTTTTGATTTATCTTTATCTCTCATTAAGCGATTATTGATAAGAAGATTTCAACTACCTACTTTACAAACGACATTACGCACACAAATAGAAGCTCTCTTAGATCATAAAGATTTATCTGAAACTGAAGACCCTAAAGATTTAATAGCTAAAAATAAACTAGAAAAATATAAACATGTTATAATTGTTTAAAATGTGATCATCCAATGAGTAAAGAACATATAGCTAAAATTGGATGAAATGTTCTTAATATTTTGTAGCATTAATATACATTTATAATGCAAGTTTTGTAATGTAGTTTAAGAGTTTCATGTCGTTAATTAGGCATTATCATTTAAAAATGCTGAACTTTAACTAAATAAATACGTTTTTGTAATTAAAGCTAAATGACGTAATAGGTATGTATAAGTACATTCAATTCCCTTCTAAATGCCTTTGGAGAAAAAAGTTTTTATCTGTTAATTTCGTCTAAATATGATAAATATGATATTATGAAAAAAATACTTTATTTAAAGTTTTTTTTGTTGACTTTTTCTATAATATTAAGAATACTATTTAAAAGAAAAACATTCTATGGGTAGATTATTTTTCTACACTGTCTGAGGTTTAAATTAAAAAAAAAATCCTCAATCGGATAATTCATTCGACAGATATTATTAATCAAACACATGCTGGTATAGCGTACCCATGAGCTGAATAAATAAATTTAAAAAAAGTTTTGCGGCGCAGTTTTGGGCACTAATATATTTAGTTAATAATGAAAAGTGAAGAATATTCCTAAAGTTATTGTTATAATGGTTATCAGAAGACAAAATGTTGTAGACCCTTTTTGAAAACATGTATTAAATTGTTTTCCAATGAAATTATTTTTAATGAATAGGTTGATGAGTATTGTATAGGATCATGTATGGGAATACATAAGTTGCGTCAGAGTATTATTCCTCTATTCGAAGATGTACTAAAACACGGAGTATGCGCAATTTTTGGGAGACCTTGTTATGAATAATCAGTATTATATAGATGAAGGCAGATTGTTAACAAAAACTACTTTGAGTACGAATTTGTAATAAAAAATATGGTCTAAAGTTGCCATTATTGTCGGCAAGATCTGGGAACGCGGCATTTCCGAAATTTCAGAAATATGGAGTATCACCAATTATACCCGTACAATTTGGCACAGTGCCCTAAGTTGTTTAGCCTTGACGTTGTGAACCGTAATTTTACATATGTATATTCAATTTGCTACCTGTGGTTTAGCGAGAGGCCGCCCTTCCTCATCGGGATGCACTTGCTCGATCTTGCTTTTGTCTTTGTGTAGTCTTATGGTCAACGAATTACCGCCCATCGATGCCCCGATTTCCTGGTAATTGCCGTCTAAAGGACATTGTGTCCGCTCTAAACATGGCGGTCTCTGCACATATTCGCATTCGTTGCAGGGAACCCCTGCCGCGGGTGTTCTTTGAGGTGCCAGAAAATCGGCCGGAACTAGGGCGGTTCCGCACTCGTTGCAAGGAGTACCTCTTTGAGGGTATTCTTGGGGCATTAGGCAAGGTGGATTCGGTATACTTCCGCATTCCGGACAGGGAGTGATCCCCGCCCTTGGACTTTCTAAGCCCCAACCGGATGGCGGTTGGTTTGGTAAACCCGCAGGATGACTATAAGGTAGATGGTATGGCAATGGCGCAGATGCGGGTGGGTCGCTTCCAATTTTATTATCGTATTGAGGACAGGACACCAGTGGACATTCGGTATTACTTCTCAGATTTGGAACGTCGTGCTGACATGGGACTGTGGGACAATTAAAATTACACCTGAAGGAAAGTTAAAGCAATTGCGTCGCATAAATCATGTAATTGACTAATTTACTGTCGCTGTTGCCCAACTCCCTCCTTCGATTTGCCTTTCCCGGCTTTCTTGTATCGGTACAGTGATTTGCCCTCCTTGTCCTTGAACAGGACCGTTTTATCGTCCAAATTCATCTGGAACTGGGTCACAATCAGTTTTCCGAAACACGACATCCTGATGTACACGCCAATTTTTCCGATCGTTTTTCCCTCCGCGTTGCTAATGTCGAACGAATCTTTCAGTGTTTTCGCGGTGGGAGTACTGCCGTCTGACATTTCTACGCTATTAATCAGCTCGTTGAATAGATCGCATATGGATATTATCGAACCACCTGGAAATGATAAAATGTCCGCCTGGTTTCAGAAAATATAAATGAATATATACAATAATAAATAATAAATAATATAAACTTGCGTGCATATGAATCGGTCCATTGTGAACTTTTTTTAACTTAAATTTCTTTTTTTTTTAGAAACTACTGACAAAAAATATGTTATTTTAAATGTGCTTTGATGCGAGTTTAAATTGATTAAAATTTATTTCTGCTTTTTAGGTTTAGCATAGTAAAATAACTGCACGAGGCAAATTAACTTTTTACCAAAAACAAATAGGGTTATTGACAATTAGCAACACAACACTTATTTTGGGTATGGGCTCCTCTTGCCCTAACAACATCTCTTACTCAATTAGGCATAGGTGTAATCAAGTTCGCTGTTGTTTCTTGCGGAATATTAAGCCACTCGTCCTCTACTGCAATAATAAGCTCTGGGATCGAAGTTGGGATACGAAGTCTAGCTCGAATTCTCCGTTTTAGCTCACCCAATAAATTTTCGAACGGATTGGGGTCGGGACTGCATGCTGGGCACTCCATAATTCGAAAATCGACTTCTGTAATGTAATCTTGCACGATCCTTGCGATGTGCGGAATAGCAATGTTATGCATAAAAATGAATTCTTCTGGAATGTAATCGACATATGGTACCACGTGATCTGATAAAGTATTCTCCATGTAAAGTCTGTTCATAGATATAGGAAAGTGACTAACTGATACGAATTAAGGAAAGACCTGGACAAGCTGTAAGAGTGAAATATGGCCGAAGAGGTCCGTACTTTGCTTAGAATTCAATTATTTGGAGTTCTGTTAGGAAAGATACTAAACAATATTTATTTATGTATTTATTTATGTTTAAATTTAAAATAAAGTTACAAATTATTTTTATTACCTACTTAAATTACTTAAAATTACTCACATAATATATCGGTATCACTATCGCTATCATCGCTTGTTCTATTTATTATTTGTTCTATATTATTTGCAATATGGATATACGATTGTTCTGCTTTTTCTATATGTTTAACAGAATTTGCCCAACTTTGTAGAGGGATGTTAAAAACTTCGGTTTCCATAAGTTTCAGGACACTGGAGTTAACACGGGGAAAAACATTGTTACGACGAATGGCAAATTTCAGTTGGTGCCAAACATTTTCCGGGGTATCATAAGTGTCGAACCAGGTTTCATTTAAGTAAATAATTAGCCTTTGTTGTTCTCCATAAGGTAATTCTGCTACATTTAACACCGGTTTCATCTTTTTCAAGCCTCCTAATTAAGATATCTAATGTAGGCACGCTTTGTTCCTCGTATAACTGGTAAATTTTACGTCGTATTATATCTTGGTCACTTTCATCTACACTCGAGAAAATGTCAGCATCGCTTGTTTTTTTCCTCGCTGGAATGGAATTTTCCATACAGTTGATGTTGGAATTTTCGTCAATGTGGCCGTTTCTTCTAAAGATGCTTGCTTGCTGGCACTACGTTCAATGAGAGTCAAATAAACATTGTTTATAACTTCCTTAGTCTCAATAGAATAATGTTTTCTACATTTGGGCGGGAGCATCTCCTGAGATGCACTAGACTTTTGCATATTTTGCATAATTCGCACGCGATTCAACACACGCTGTATTACACACGAAATAAGAATGATTACTAATAAACTAAACTAAGTAGTATACCAAACCAAAGAATATGAAACACAGGTAGGTATAAAATTATTTTGTATTACGGACCACAATTTTACCTGAATTTAAATTCCGAAATTTTAGGTAATAATCTTGTTGCATTGTATGTTAATGACCACCCTTGGATAATCTCATTCAAAAGCAATTGGTCACTTTTTTATATCTATAAACAGACCATACCTAGAACCTGTTAAACCCCCTGCCCCTTGACGCCCCTACGGATGAAGACAGGGTCGGTTCGTGCGTCCACAGAAATTGCACCCCATATGATACAGGAACCACCTCCATAAGGACTGCGCTCTCCTGGTCTTCGGTTCATCTTTTTTCGTCGGTCATTACCAAAAATGCATATTCTGGTCTCATCGGATAACAGAACAGAACCCCATTGGTCCAATGTCCAATTCAGATGATCCCGTGCAAAACGTAACCTTGCTTGTCGATGAGCTGGAGTAGGTTTCGGACCAATTGCAGTCGTTTTTGGGATCAGCTTATTTTCCTTCAGTCTTCTTCTCACTGTCCACTGACTAATAGCAACTCTTCGAATTTCATGGAACTGTTGTTGTTGCACCGCATTAAGGTGACGATTTCTTATTATTGTTGACACATACTTTTTGAACTGCTGCACGTGTCATGTCTAGTTGTCCAGGAATAGCTCACTGGCTAAGTCCACTTTCGATTAAAGCTATAACTTGAGCGGCTTTTTGCGGAGTAGTATATATCAAGCTAACACAATTAAACTCTATCCAAATAGTTAAAAACGAATAATGTGAAAATTCCAGTTGCAAAGGCGATTAATTTAAGTCTATAGCAAGTTTGTCACTATCACTACAACTACTACATGAACACGTTTCATTTGTCTAACTGGAGCTACGCATATAAAAGATCAGCACTCTTGACAAATGTAAACTCATACTAAAGCATATTAAATTGTCATATGAATACTTTCTAGAAAAAATATACTAAAGTCAAAAATTTACAGTGTTCCGAATTCTATGCACGCAAGTTTATATTATATAAATAATACAATAGTTTATTAACTATATAACTGTTAAATATTACAATCAGATGATGAGATCGGTGGCTTTAAAGACAATAATCAAATATCAATCACATAATCATTTAAGGAATTCCTTTCCACAATTAGCCCTTTCCCGTTTAATGTATATTTTATGTATATACTTATTTCGAATGAATCTCCTTCCTGCTCAATATATTTTTCGAATTTAGGCGAACATTTATGTGATAATTGAAATCTCAACTCTGTCGGCCCTGTTAATATTATATCTGAGTCCGGCTCTGGTTTAGCATAAAGTAAGGGTCGCAGACGACGTGACAATTCTTTCTGTTACTTTTCTAATTGTTTATTATTGTGATGTAGATTGCAATACTGGTGTTGTTTGTGTTTTGTGTTGTGTTCTGGTATATTTAGCCTTTGCTTATATTATGGTTAAACCATGCGTGTGATGCATAAATGTCGGTTTGAGCGGAAACGGCGGCAACTTTTGAATTTTAAATGGCACATTCTGTATTTTTTCCAGTTTTGGATTTAGCAAATTATTTTTTAGTTTTTAATTCTGAAAATTGATTTTAAACGGTTATGAACTCAACAAATACCATTTACCAAGCCGACAGGTATAATGGGAAAAATTCTAAATGAAACTTTTCCTAACTTGTCTTATGGCAAATAGCATTTATTGTAACGAAAAAAACCTTTTTTTTCGGGAAAATCTAGTTTTTTCAAATAGCGCCTTAGTGGCAATAAGCACATTATAAAACCGGTATTTTTTTTTGCAATATTTTGAAACCAAAATTTGGAAAAACCGAAAAAAATGAACTTACAGGAAGGAAAAAAGCCAGATCAATAAATGTATTTTCATAAAAATCAAATGTTACATAGGTAGATTTGCTTCTGTGAATCGGCGCTATTAGGAATTCTGGTAGTTTACGCATTTTTACCCTATTAATGGTTTTGTGGTGTTATTGATTTATATTATCATGGGAAACACTCAATTTGGAAATGGAAAAAGAGTTCATATTCTCCCGATTTGCGGAAAATGCAACTATCCAAGCTCGTGCAGTTGAAAGAAAAACATCAATTTTTTTTCATTAACGGAAGGCCTTCTATGATCAACTTTCAAATTAGGACGATTAAAATTTTGAGATTTTATTACAGTAAACAAGTATGTATGCTTTTAGGATACACGAAATGTAGTGAAAACTCTCAACATGAGCATTGCGTTTATATGTAAACACTTTTTATCTCTTCCTCAGTTTTCTATAAAATATTTCAAAATTTTTAAAAATAGCAATAGCGCTCACATCAGCGATAATCCAAATGAATAATGTGAGAAAACCAATAACTTTTGTAATAAATGATGAGCAAAAGCAAAGCTGACACAAAAAAAAACAAAACTGATTTAGGTTTTCATAATTTTGGCTTCAAAATGTTTCATAAAACCTCCCAATTAAAAAAAATTGTTCCTAGCATGATGTCTTTTGAAAAAACTAGGTTATCCTAAAAAGTTCATTACATTAAGTGCAATTTTTCATTGGGCAAGTAAGGAAAAGTTTCATTTCGAATTTTTCCCATTACACCTGTTTGGAAGAAATGCTCGTATTCTGCATAAAATAATTTCCTAAATGTGTGCCATTTAACATTCAAAATTTACCGCGGAAACTGGAAGTACGTCCATTAACTAACCAAAACTTGCGTCACCAGGTATACTAATTACGCGGAAGCTTACATCGGCGTATTATTTGTTCACGTACACCAAAATAAATCGGATCTGGAGGCGTTTAAATATTTAACCTTGCTTTTGGCCAATGTTTTCTCTGCGTTACTTTTGTATTTACTGTATTGATACTTAAGAGTTATTTTTTAGAACTTTAAGGGGATTTTACCTTTTCATTTTATTAATTGTATTAATTGTAATAATTTTAATTTAATTCCTTCTAAGTTCGAGGGTTTATAGAGTAAGTAGCACTTGAATAATAGAAAACTACAAGCGCCTCATCTGTTTTTAAGAATAATAGGGACGTTTAACCGCACTTCCAAAATTACAAAATTGTTGAACCTGATGGGTCGTTTACGCGTGGTTCGTGATTTGCTACAATTCACAATTTCACAAGCCAAGGATCCACGACTTATTTACGATATTTCTGTACTTGTTGCTCAAATATTTACATATGAGTTGCTCGTGTGGGCCAAGACGTGTATACATTTATAGTTCGAATAAGAACTAGCGAAAATCATGGATAGTTTGTATGGTTCAGTTCGATAGAGACTGACCTTAGACGAAGTTGGATGAACCTTGCAAACTAGACACCGAAAACTGTAAGCCATAACAAATCAGACCAGATATGTAACCGTCTCTATATTAGGTCATGAACTGGCATAAAAATGTTAAGCGCATTTTCGCATGAAACCTACCAATATCGATTCTTTCCGGTAGCCACCCAGGTTTCATCTTCTTCATAATACAGACGAACACATCGAACTGCTCGATTGCGTTATTGGCTTGCTCGGGAGACAGGGAAAACAGGCAAGATTTACCGCTTTTGACAGAATCGGTTCCGTTTCGTATTCTCCTTTTGGGGACAAAGTCCGCCTCGCAAACGTCCAAAGGTGCATTGTCCAGAAACTGGAAGGACACGCAAGTTTCCCCTGCCGGTGCGTCGCATTCACACTTCGGATCCAATGTTACAGTGTCGACTAGGAATTCCAATAAGAACAAGTTCTCCGTGGTGATATTATCCATTTTCCTTGTTAGGTGGATCGGGAACGGGGAATTTGGAAAGGAAAATGTCAGTTTAACTTTGACAGTACTGTGGTTGGTGTCAGGCGATATACTGACACTCGATAATAGAGCGTAAAGTATCAGATTTTCATAGTTTGTAACTCGAAAAACGAGAAATTTCCGAATTTAATGGAAGCTTGCTTGCATTGTTGTTTTCCAATTAGCAAAAATGCATTTTTATGATGATTACGAGCCTGGTTGAAGTGGACCGTCCATGTCTAAGACCCTTTTCAACGCCCGATTTGGTGTACTAGTTTCAGAGATTTTTAAAATATTCTTTTTTGGAGTCTTTATATAGGTGGAATTATTCAATAATAATCCTTGCGCGTTGCTTAAAAAATGTGTTCAAAAATAATTTGTTATTTGTTATTAATTACAATCCATTTTTGAAACCTCTTCGACAAAACCAAAATTTGTTTTGAAGCTGAAGCTTTTTTATAATCAGGGGTTTTCATCAATTTTCGTAGAAAACGTTTACTCTTTTTGAGGGAGGTAAAATATATTGTTTCTCATTGGACTTACTTTGGTCATTGTTAAATTGGGCCTATCTAAATGCTCTATAAAATATGTATTTTTAAAGAATCTCTTATAATAGCCGAAACAGGTATATAGGTACGGGACTTTTGCCCCAACAAAAGCAACTCTTCTTACACATTAGTTTTATTAAATATTGAACACACATATTGATATACTAATCAATAGATAGAAGTAATAGATAATTATGACCTCTATTTGGTTCACCAGATATTATTTGAAATATATCAGGTTTATTTGTAAACACATTTAATAGTTTCTCAGACACAGTATTATCTCTGTTCAATCCCACGATTTTAATTTTTTTAAAAGTTCGTATTTCTTAGTCTTATTTTTCTCTTCGATTCTTGCTTATTACAGCTTAGTTTAATAATGATTAACTGAGAGTTGTGCCTGTTTGTTAAGTAATTCTAGTACAAGGCCCTTGTATACAACCATACAATCGGTCAAACACAGTAAAGTTACGCATTTTATTTTATTTATTTTTATCTTTGGCGGCAAAATTTCGATTATATTTTTAAATTTCCGTCAATTTTTTCGGAGTAAACTTTACATCTGGCGGCGGATAATGCCGATAATAAAAATTGCAGGCCTCCGTCTTAAATGGTTGTCCAACCCTGCGAACATACTCTACATTACTCCAGTAATTAAGGTGATTCACGGTAGATGGTAGGTTAGGCGTTCTGAAAATTTGCTGGATTATATTAGCGACGCTCTGTATATTATTGCATTTTTCGCTTCGCCATTTTGTTTACTTATATTTTGTTCCGATAAAGAGTTTTTTACTCGTAAATAGCTGAAATGTTGGGGGTAGTTTATCAAGAGCACATGTTATTATTATATGCAGAGATTTATGTGAAAGCGGAAAGTTCATTTTTTAAGTGAAACACTATTTCGCCTTGATTCGACTGCACCAGATAAGGAGAGGCTCTAGGCTCCTAGGCTTGAAGACAGAAGCTATGTTAGTTTTTACGAATTCACGTGTTCCATTTGAAATATCAGTGATGCTGCTACTTTTTCAAAGTAAGGGAACGTCGAGTGGCTGAAAATATTGTGTAAACCAACAAAATTTCAGATCAATCCTACTTTTCTTTTCCCATAAACCTGTCACCCGTCATGAATCACTGTTACATTATGGAACTGAATACATTAGCATGTGATGTTTCCTCCTACATGGATCATCGATTACGATAGCGGTTAAATTAGGTTCTTCGGTCCATCTGTCAATGGTTGATTTAGCTACTTGGGCGTTGTCGTAAGTTTCTGAGATAATTGCCCGCGGAACACAAGCACTTTTTCCAAATTCCTTCGCTTCTTTTTCACATTTACGGTGTAATTTTTGCAGGCGATTTTCTTCCAACCATTCCAATTCATATTTGAAGGAACGGTTGAAGACTTTTTCTAGAAAGCACGCGCGAAATAACATTGCTCTGGTCACCCCCTACCCTCCGTATCTTTTCTAGTAGCGTTACTTTTTGTGTAGAATTCAGTTCCCCTCTCAGAAAAAGTATATGGGGTCAGGTCAAAAATGTATCGAACCCTTCAAACTACATTTATAACATCATTTTACAATTTTTCCTCTGACTTCGTGATAGTTTGACTGTGGCATTGCTTCCGCGGTATATTTAAATAATATATTCAGAAAAATTGAGTTAGGTGTGTGCGGAAATGTGTGCGCACACGCGGAGGATCATTCCATCCTGAACAACATAGTCACCGTATTTTCGGTAGGAAAAACTTACTTTTAATTTACTTTTCCTCCATTTTCTTTAATTAAATTTTTAGTTACATTTAGTACGTCACTTGAGGTGAATGTCAAATTCAAGTCAAGGTATTGTTCCCGGTTTTCCATTTTATAAAAATACTTTTTATATGGATATTTTTGTTGCACTGAAGTGGCTTTTACTTGATGAAAATCCATTTAAAATAGTTAAATAAGAACAAACGTTGTTCAGATTTTCACATAAATATATTTAAATGACAGCTGTTTCGGCAACACCGTGCCTTTATCAAATGCGAACATCAAACGGTACCGATGTTTATAAATTGAAAACAGGTAGTAATTACTTAATGTGAGGTATTACATTGGGATTTAACAAGGGGATCCATTCAAATCCAGTTGGTCATTAAGTAATACATTCGAATCTCTCATCTTATTAATCTCTATAGCTTCTAGTAAATTTAATTTTCTACTTTTTGAAACAGTGTGTAAAATATCAAAATTGTCGTCAAAATTGTGTTTTTTTAAATTTAAATTTAGAAAAACACAATTTTGACGACAATTTCGATATTTTACACACTGTTTCAAAAAGTAGCACGGTGTTGCCGAAACAGCTGTCATTTAACTATATTTATGTGAAAATCTGAACGTTTGTTATTATTTCATTATTTTAAGGATTAGAAATTTTTCTATTTATATGCGAATTGTTATCTGTTCATTTCCCCTGGAAATATAATATTTTATCCCTTACGTTTATAGTTATTATGCCCGTGTCGATCAACTTTTGAAGAAAACTTCTGGAAAATGTTGTGAATACACAAATCGGTTTTGCCAGGTTCGTCTACCCAAAAAGCCTTTGCATCGTCGATCCACTTATTAATGATTCTTGGATTTACTGCTGTAGGCTGCTTGAACAAAAATATAAATAAGCATGAAAATAGCGCTATTATTTGACTACCTCTAACTTGTCGGGAACTTCTCCTTCTGTGTAATGAACAGGTGAGCAAAATACACCGACGGTGTTCTGTGTAACCCTAGGTTGAGCATCTGGAGTGAACTGGGAAGAATCTTTTTGAGCTTGAGGTACTTCTTTAAGAATGTAGTCTTTTGGTGGATATTTCGGGACCTCGAACATTTTAACGCCCAGTCACTTGTCAAATTTTGACTCGACGAAGAATTGAAACATACTGCCAGTAAATGAAATTTTTATTACAAAATTTAGATATCATTCTAAGAATGACTCAACAATGTACAATAAATTTTGGTGTAAATTTTACATATATTATTGCATCTATCACACTATACAAAACATATTTGATAGTAAAAATAAAGACCATATCTCAAGGAATGTGGGGAAGCAATACCATTTACATATTTTCTAAAAATATTTAACACGTTTGGTACAAAATACTTATAGAATCGGTAAAATAATACCCATAATATTGTATTAAATTATGGCATTAATATCAATTTCTAGAATTACTTAATCATATTCAAACCAAATAATTTTGTATGCGTATTTCATCAAATTGTGACAAATATGGTCTCTACGATAGAGAATAGCACAAGGTATTGAAGAATACAAAGAATAAAATGAAAGCCATTAATCAATTGACATTTTTGAAATACAAATAATTTTTTAGTTAGTGTGTATTTATTCTTAGGTGTTTTTTCCGAGCACCCATTTTCAGCCGAGTACCTACTATCTACTCGTTTATAAAAGGCAAAGAAAAATGTGTAAACAAAGAACTACATGAACAAACGACCTGAATATAATTTAATTCATTGCAAGAAAACGGAGTTTTTGGTTATGGCACAGTAACCACATATATATTTCATAAATATCGAACTACGTAGGTATGTTAATAGAATCATGGAGAAAATATGACATTTAAAACTGTTAGGACGTTCTAAACTTTAAAATTTCTTCTAATTAAACAATCTTATTTACTATGGAAATTGGGGTAAGCCTATTACACTATACATATATTTTAATCGAAGCACGGATTCTTGAATAGCTAATTACAATATTTCTAATGAGTTTTTCGAAATTTACAATTAATATCGGACAAGAGAAAGTTATTGCCTACTTTCATAATTTTTACATAGGTAATGTAACAATAACATTTTACACATTTGTTCAGTTTGGTCTAAAAGAATCAATAAAAAAATACACGTTTTTAAATTCCAGCAATTTTGTAATCTTTTAATGTATGTACAATTTCTATAACTCTACGAAATAAATATTAGTATAGAGTATAATGAACACTTACATAGAATAATTTGAAGTATGTTCACGAATGTACCATTTGATAATTATTAATAATATTAACTTCTAAAAAAATACAAATTTTAAAACTGCAAGAACAGATCTCTTTCGAAATAATTGGTAACTGGTTCGCAACAGGATTATTCACATTATTCAGCCTACATCAGAACAATATTTCTTGTAATTTAAAGAAGTCACAAAAAACGATTTTTTTTACACGACCCGATGGCGTTTCCCTTAAAAAAAAATTGAAGGTTTGTTCCAACAAGCTCTCAAGGCGTGTACGAACTAAAAGTAATAAACGTTCCATGCTGCTTTTACAGATTATTTCGGGGATGTCTACTGCGAAATAATCGCAATGAATTAGTTATTACAGGAAAAACGAAAAAATGCTAAGATATCTTAAAGTTATTACGTTCCCTTACAAATCTTTTTAATTTCTCTACACAAATTCTATATGATCTTCATTTATCCTTTAGCAAAATTTAATCCAATAGCCTTATAAAGCGTAAAAATGATAGATTAAATAATAAACACACTAAAAATATATATGAATACGCTAAATTTGCACTATAAATGGTAAAACACATACACGATCGTCGGATAACAGTCTTGGACTGGGTTGGAATCGTAGAGGCAACTAATAAAAAGAGAGTCGCGGATTGTACCAGAATAATAAGCAAACAATTATACTATGGCCGTAACGCAACTTAGAGCTATCAAAATGGATACAGAAAACTGGAACACTACCCAGTTTTTTGCTTTTTAGCGATATTAATTAGAAAGCATTGCGGTTGTGTATTTTTTTTGTATCATTTTAAGAAACTGTTCGTTGAAATTTTCTGCTAAAATTAGTTAGTCCTGTAACTCTAGGTGGTGCTGGTAAACAGAGATCCGATAGTTACAGGGAATCTACAACATTCCTTTTTATTGGCTTTCTGTAAACTCGGAACGCATTTATAGAGTAATGTTGACCAAGGCTGGTATTTGTTATTGTTTCTGACACCAACTATTGCTCCGAACACTGTTGGACAACGAATAAGACAAATAACCCTGTTGTTAACGTGACCGCAAACAGTATAGACAAAAAACAAAAATGCCGTCGGTATTATAGATTTTGGATATTGTCTTACATAACTTAGACTAGAATTAAAATGCAGACAAAATAGACCGACAACTGCAAAAAACATTTGTTGGGTGGTCGATGTATCTTTTTTTTTATCTCGTTTATTCTGGTTTGGTTTTTCCCAAACGACGAATAAACCGATAAATACAAATATTTCTCGTTGAAGCAAACATAGACTCGATATTATTGTTCCGTTTTATTTTAAATCTATCTCGGGATTCTCCAATCTAAAATGCTTAATTTGACCGTGTTCCACTAGAGGAGTGGCCAGTTCGTCATTATCTATCCTGATTCTAATTTTGTTCATTTCAGGAAAAGAACTGGGGTACATTTTGGGCAAGTCCCCGTTATGGGGGCTCGGTATGGGCGTATCCAAAGGTGAGTAGGGAACGTATATTCGCAAGACATCGGGGCTTGGATTATGCGGGGTGGCTCTTGGGGTAGATTGAGTGCTAAATGGTTTTGGCAAACCCGCTATGCCTGTAAAGTGAAAGCCTAACCTACTGCTAAGTAAAACACATTTAGAATTCAAAATACCTGAGCCAACTGAGCTGGCGGCTCCCACCGAGTTATCCGACATGTTGCTGTGAGTATCCAAGCTATTCTCGTGAGCCTGCGATCTGGTTACCGTTGAAAACACAGATAAATCTGCGGTCGATGTTACGCTAGTGTCCGCTAACGATCTTCTGGAGCCAGTATGGTCGCAATCTAGGAGAGAGCTGGCATCGTCCAGGCTCGGATCAAATGAAAATTTTGATCCTGGAATATCACGGTTTGCACATTCTCTGCCTTTCTGTTTGAGCATGGTATTGAAGAAACCTACAGGTACCGGTGTCCCATAAAAGTGAATTTTGCGGGGGTCTAGTGCCTGCGTTTTTTTTAAGATTTGGCTTGTTTCTCGTATTTAAAAAAAAATAGATATAATCTAATATATTAAGGAAAAGTAGACGAAACCATTAAATGATTACATTTTTAAAAATCAAATTTATAAATTTTTGTAGATACAGTCGTACACATAGTATTTTCTCAGTTTTTTTTTATTTTCTTCTTTCACTTACATTTAATGAGACCTATATTTCAAGTAAATATCGGCGATCTCATTAAGAGTAATAAAAATAAAATAAAAATCATTTGAGACACACAAAATAAGGCAGTTTTAGAAGCAAGAAACTATGTCAAATAAGTCTTCATACACTTTAATAAATCACTAAATCAATAGTGATTTAATATTTTATCAAGTTAGCTTGTGAAATTTCAGCTTATGAAATTTCAGCTCATGAAATTTCACTTAAACAAATGAGTTATACTTGTTTATTTTTGACGCCACTTTTAAGTTAGCTTAGTAAAGTAAAAGTAAAATGAGCGCCAAAAATTGTAAAATTCCAATTGCGCTTCGAAAAATCATAGTAGATTTATGGAAAGAGAAAAAATCCTTTAGAGATATTGGTAAAATAATTAAAAAATCACATTCAACTGTACAGCATCTAATAAATCAATACAAATCCACGGAATCTTATAAAGTGCGCCACGCTCTGGTCGTCCCAGGAAGTTAACGGCACGAGAAGACTCTTCTGTTGTGAAAAAAATTAGAATTAATTCTAAAACAAACGCTCCAAAACTTGCAGAGGAAGAGTTCTCAAAAAATGTTAGCCCTCAAACGATTAGAAACTGGTTGCATCGAGCAGGTTACAACGGCCGTGTTGTCCGAAGGAAACCATTAATTTCGGAAAAAATCGAAAAAAACGTTTGGAATTTGTCCGAGAACACATTAACAAAACCAGAGAGTTTTGGGAAAACGTTATCTTTAGTGACGAAACAAAAATTAATCTTTTTGGGTCAGGTGGTAGGGACAAAGTTTGGCAGAAAAAAAATACAGCTCTGAAAATCGAAAATGTCTGTCCTACGGTGAAGCATGGTGGAGGTAATGTTTTATTGTGGGGGTGCATGTCAGCTAATGGGACACGTAATTTAGCTTTTATTGATGGAATTATGAACCAACATGCTATTTGAACATTCTAAAGAATAATTTAAATTAAAGTGATGAAAAACTTAACTTTGGGGGCGTTATTTATTCCAATAGGATAACGAACCACACTGCTACGTTTGTACGTCACTGGATGATCCACAATGTCCTCCAACAACTTAAGTCCATAGAGCACTTGTGGGAAGAATTAAAGCGACGAGTGAAAAAACATCAAGTTACGAGTAAAGAAGACCTCAAAAATAGGATAAGGGAAGAGCGGGAAAATATATCGCCAGAAGTTACAAGACAGCCATTATTAAAGCAAACGGCAATTATACAAAATATTAGACTTTAAGAAATTTCATCATAAGAAATAATAATGTACCGAGACTTATTTGCTTCTAAAACTGTTTTATTTTTTATCGTTTAAATAAAGTGTTTCAAATGATTTTTATTATATTTTTATTACTCTTAATGAGATTGTCGATATTTACTTGAAATATCTTTCTCATTAAATGTAAGTGAAAGAAGAAACTAAAAGAAAACTGAAAAAATACTGTGTACGGTGACTTTTTTGACCGACTGTACACGTTCGCCAAAGTTTTTAGTCATCTACGATTTTAGCGTTATATATTACTGGAAGTTGATTTTTAGTTTTGACGTTCGTTTCGTGAATATAAATAGGAAAACTAAAATTTTTACGCGATTTAAAGGAACGTCGTGTCATGACGAATTAAAAATGTTGTGTTACCTCTATGGCGATATAACATAACATAAACGAATGTTGTTCGTCTTAAGTTGTTTGGCTTGTAGTATTATAAATTTCATAAAAAATTAGTTCAATACGTGCTAAAATTTTGTAACATCTTTCACATGAACATGCTCTGTCAGCCTAAGGATTCACATGCATTTGCGCAGGTTGTAAATCGAGTCAATTGTATAGGTAGACTACAATCAACTCTAGTTGCAAAGCTGCTGGAATAATTTTATCAAAGATATGTCCTCAGTTAGTAAAGCAATTCTAGAACGAGCAGTAAACACTATACCTGGTAAGTAACCAAATTTTTCGGAAATGTCCTCGCCAGTTGCGCTCGTATTTTCTAAAATCGTGTAACCGTGGTTCAAAAATTTCCATAAGTTTTCTGGAAAATCCTGGCCGGCAATTTCTTGAATTAAAGAATAACAAACTTTGTATTTCCATTGAGTACACTTGATTGTTGGCATAAAAGCTGACTTTCTATAGAGGCAAAGGCGTTCTATCTTTCTAAAATATTCATATAGTGTTACTGCTCTATATATACGTAGAAAAAGCACGGGTTATTATCTCATTTTTTTCACAGAACAAGCTTTTAAAGTTGGTTGAACCGGAAGTAGGTGGGTGAAAATTTTTACTAATTTCTCGCCGTGTATATATATTTCGAACACAATATTCCATAAATGCCAGCTTATTGTGTTCAGATTTTCCCAGTTTTATGTCATTTAAACGCTTACAGAAATCTTAAACTCAATCAATACTACCGGCAATCAAAAAAAGAAATCATATCACGTATTTCTTCATTGAAAATTTTAAAAAAAATTGGAGTCTAAGGTACAAAAACATTTTCTTCAATATTCCTTATTTTTAAACCTAATTATTATATTTCCACCAAGATACAGTATTCATGAGCGGCCATCATAGAGACAGAGCAGGCCAAATGAACATGCGCTCACATAATGAAAAACTTCCCGCTGTAGTAATACAACAAATGGTAACTTGCAATGCATGGCAATAGAAAATGCTATCATCCAAAGCTGTATCCAATCTAATATGGCGTCTATTAGAAAAAGTTAAGGTGATGATGATGACAGTTTAATAGAGCGAAACGTCATACGGGATTTTTGACTTCAACAAAAAATGATATTCAAAGTGTCACTGAGGATGCATTTGCAGATTTTTATAACTTGTAAAATACATTTCTGCTTTGCGGAAGTAGCAAAAACAAGTTGATTTTTTTAAAGGAATATTAGCCACCCTGTATCGAGCTACCGTTTTGGCAGATCCCAATGGCGAAAGTCAAATTTGAAACAATCTATTTTTAAGAGGAAAATCTGAACAAAATCAACTTAATTTTTTGCGTTGAGTTTAAAAATGGAATCGAACGGGGTACATAAACCGACATTTTATAAAGTATGTAAAATTTTCACCTTATAATTTAAAATAAATGCGACCAGATACTAACAGCGGCATATATCTCTAGCAAAAAGGCTTGAAAACTGATAAATATCTACCTATCTTCGTTAAACTTCAGATCCCACTAAGGGACGCGGAGTCAATTATGCAAGATCATAAGAATGATGTAAACTACCCAAAGGATCCTCTTAATAGAGCAGCATTACCTCAAGGAACTTTTCTATTCATGGGTCAATATAGGGTGCAAATATTTCCCCTCATAATTTCCACCTAATCATATATCAGATATACAGAGATAATTGTAAAAAAAACATTTTACAGGATGTTACAAATTTATTTTCGCAATCTATTTTAAACATTTTCATCTTTATAATAATGAAACTAGATAAATTTGGTTTTTTTACAGTAACAAGCCCGGAATAAATATGGTTTGACTTTTACTCTTTTAAGTTTAACTAATTGGAGCGGAGTAATAAAACTGGGGATTTAAAGATCGTCAATAGCCATAGGTATTGGTATTACTAGTACTGAGTAAACCATAGGCATCATTCATTCATTGTTTTAAGTGTAGATGACTGCTTTAGTTTTACTGATTTTCTCTAAAAAATTTTAACATCCGGTATCCTTAGCACAAACGAATTTCGGATATCTATTTTTATGAGCGATCCTTGAAAAGTTAAACAATCACTTCCCTCAATATTAGGGACAACAAAATATTTATTCTAAGAGAACCTTCAAACTCCGGGGTTTAAACTTTTAAACTTGGCTTAGGTGGAAGTTATTAGTCCCAAATAGCAGAAATTTCCGTCTATGCACGAAAAAGCTTCGCAACATATTATTGCAACCTTTGCAAATTTACAAACTTCATCACATTTGAGCAGCGGGCAATTTATTTTTTTTTAGTTTGTTATTTTCCACGACTTACTGTGTTTGTTTCTTATTTTAACAATCAATGCATTGACCATAACATACAACCATGCAATACCCGTGCAAAACCTACCAAAATGTTGTAGATCTTCCAATGCAATCAAATGCTTACTGCCGGTAGTACTAAAATTGTTAAAATACATCCTTGAATCTTCTCTGAATATACACACTCCCAAAAAAGCGATGCAAAATGAATGCAGACAAAAATGAAAATTGTAAGTTACAATTTGATCCGTGAAAGAATGATTAGTAAAGTGATAACCGGACACCAAAAATGTTACGTGCCATGTAAGTTTGTCGGGACATGTTAGTGAGTTGTATTTTTACTGACAATGAGAAAATGTTAGAAGCAACGGTAAATTTAAATTATATTTATGCTTTTCTCAGTGCCATCACATTAACTGACATGTTAGAGAGCCAAAACCACTGTTGTTATTGACAAAATATATTGCGGAAATTATACATCATCATATATATATATATTACAATGTATTCCTATCACAATAAGGAGTTATATATACAAAAATAAAACTTCGAGTGAAACCTAAGTACTTTTGGTATGGGAAGTAAGGAACCAAAACAATATTTATTTTATTAAAAAAAAATATTATTTAAAAAAATAAAAAACAAAGAAATTCGGAAATACTGAACTTATCAAAATAAAATCATAAATGCCTCATGTATTTCGAGATATTGCTTTAAAAAACCACGTTACTCATTTAAATTAAACTTGTACTTTGCTGGCTTGGGTTTTTTTAACAATTAATTTTCAGGAGCGAATTATGCTTTCAACATTCTGCACTTAATATGATCAACAGCAAAACAAGGAGCCAAAGGAAATAAAAATCAAAGCCTAGTACACTCATCAACGCTACTGGCAAGACTATTGGCCACACTGCTTTTACTAGCTAAAGAGGAACAACTACTTAATGTCGAATTATTCTCAGTATCAGTACCTGCGAATCCGACTGAATCTCCTACCGATAGATGGCTCTCCTTGTCTCTTTCAGTAGTTTCTCGCGCGGCATCGCTAGTCAGGGTCACTATTTCTTGAGTTTGCTTTAAAACAAACAAACTTCAATATTTTAGAGGCCCATTTGTATTATGAAGTAGAAATTTTGAAACACTGTCTTTGCTTATTTTACCTTTTCCTTTTCACTAAACTTCTCCGCTCGAAATCCAACGATTTGATCGAAAGTGGGTTCCTTAAATAGACCAAATGGCCGCGTAGGCAACTCATCGCTGCTCGGAGGACCCGGATGGTCCAATTTATGCCTCTTAAGTTCGTCCATGTTATGCTCCAATTGTCTAACAACAGTATCGTCGTCGTATAAAAAATCCTTGTATAACTTAACCTAAAAATACAATATTTAAAACAAACATCTTTCTTTTCTTTAGTTATGCAAAAAAATGTTTTTTAAGCTCTACCACCTAGAATTTCAATACTTGAATTTAGATTCACAAAGTGGATCAAATCCTTGTCTTACATATTTTACAATTGGAGATTCAAACTTTTATTACATGCAGATTTCCAAAAATAAAAATTATAATAATCAAAGCGTAGCCAACATAAACCCCCAACCCGGCAAATATCCGCTGGGTAAATTAGTTTCAGATACAGTCTCAGGTAGCAAATTAATCAGGTTAGGAAATTAAATTTACTAACTTTTTTGCACATTTTAATTCTCAAAGAAGTTTAAGAATCACAAAACCGCATATACCCTCTAAATTACAAAACAGTTCATCTTAAAATGTGATAAAAATCAAAATATCTACAAAAGTAAAGTGAAAACATTGTGGCAGATAAATACAATTCACAAAAAGTGAAAGATTTAAATAATGTTTAAAAACATTTACCTGAATGAAATGTACAATAGAGTCCATGTCATTAAATTTTAGTAAATTTCGTTTATGTAGCTTGAGTATTGTATAAGCCATTGCAGTAACTACCCGCTCGCCATCTAATAAGTAAATATCCCAAATCCTCAAACATAAACTAAAAGGTACCTAAAAAAAATGCAATAAGACAAAGCATATTTGCCACCATGGATATTTAGAGGTCAACAAGGATTGATGAATCCTCTCAACATTTTTTAATTAGATACAATAATCAAATTAAAATTAAATTAAAAAAAAGACATTTTTGTAAATATAATAGGATTGATAAAATATTTAATTATTATAATTATCATCATATTCCTGGGAAACAATCCTTTCACTTTCTAAATATCCATATAGAGCATTATCAAAATTACCCTTTCGATAAAACAGACAAAAAACCATTTCAGGGAGTACAAAATGGCATCCAACCCATGCTTGTCAAAGTGCTTCTTCACTTTTGGCAGTAACTTAGTGAGAATTTTATCATGATGTGCCAAAAATCTAGTCAACTTAGGAAAACCTTCTTTGTACAATCCATGCATAGCATATTTAGGGTCTGATAGCAGAATATGTACGGCCCAAAATGCATCTTCCTCATCCATATACATCAATAAAACTCCGGCCAGACCAGACATACCTTGGCAATATCCTACTTCTGAGTTGTACATTGCATAGGCCGTAAGAACATTAAACAAAGATTGCTGCTTGATGCTGTATCTCTCACGATAATGCAAATGCTCTCTGAACTGTCTATTTACATCTGAATCTATTTGCCTAGCGTCCGTAGAATATTTTCGGGCTAGTTTCATCATCTCAGTGTACTTCCCCATGTTTTCTTTTTTTACTTTTTCCACTTGCAACAATTTACACCAAGCATCGCTGCGTAGAGAGTTTGGAATGCCTTTATAAACACGAGAATGAAGTTTTTCCTTAACACTACCAGTTTCCCAGTTTCTCAACATTTTGACCCACTTTTTTTGACGTTCTACTTCAATCTGGAGCTTCTTTGCTTCCTGCGGATCCACTTTGGATGGTAAACGTTTATCATGGATGAAACCATATCTATAAATAAAAAAGTTTATACAGAATTTAATAATAACAAGTTAATATAGACCTGTCTGTGGCATGATATACTTCAAATCCTGGATCCTCCCAAGGATCGATTTCAGCACCCTCTCTTCCTTGTTCATAACGTTTAAATATTTTTTCTCGCTCTTCAGCAGACCTTTTAAGAAGATCCTCCTCATTCATCCCATGTAACAATTTTTGTTCTGTTTTGCACTATTTCCACTTCGTGACATACCGTTTGAAATGAGGACAAGGTTTCCCGCAGCTGCTTACATGTGCTTACCCAAAAATGTGCAAAATGTTAAACTAAAGTCCCTCCATAGAGCTAGCTACAGATTACAATCACAAGCTGTTCTTCCGGTATAAAACGGTTTCAGAAATTAATTGAGAATTCAAAAAGAAATTACATCTGTCACAAACCTACCTAAAAGATATTGCCCTCAAAAATTAAAAAAATTAACGAAACTATACTAAGTAGTTAAAAAATAATTGGCTTGTTTGAATGAATCGCCTACAGTTAAGTCACTTGCGAAATGCAAGGCAAGAACATTTTCTCGTAACGGCATCAACAACTAATCCAAATCCGATGTTAAATATGAACTGTCAGCTGCATCTGTCATTAAATGTCGTTTGAAAATATAAGACAACTAAAGGCAGAAATCTATTAAACATTAGGTGTTCAAACTATTTGGAATTACCGCTAAAAGATGGCATTCCTGGCGGTGGTTTATTATTTTATTCCGGCTTGCTGCTGCGCTGACGTCACTTCGCCCACTCAAAACATAGTTCATGCTTACATGTGGTATTTTCGTTAGCAATTAAAAGTACTTCAGCGAATATAAAACTGTTTTTATTTAGTTTTTTCCATGGCTGCTAACAGTCTCACAAGTTTTTGCGTTTTTGTCAGATGGTGTTTATTGATGACGACAAGAAGAAACTTTGAGAACAGATTGTGTCAAATAAAATTTTGGGAGTTTGAAATGGTACCTAAGTCTAAAAAAATAATCATATTCATAAAAAAACATTTAATGAAAAAATCATTCTATGGGATATTTTAATTAGTTTCCATTTCAGAATCCCCATCTTGGTCATTACTATCACTTGAACCATCAGTTTGCTCATCCTCTTGTTCACTATCAGACCCAAACCACTCCATCTTTGCCCCACTGTCCTCTATCAGTGTCTTCCATTTGTCAAGTTTCTTTAAATCCAAACTATACAAGTCACTGTAGGTCAATTGCCTATCTCCATCCTCAAACATACCACCATACAAATACAGCATTCCATGTTTTATGGCTAAACCGCAGTTCATCCTTGGGGAAGGATGGAAATTATCTTTAATTTCCGAAATGACAGGTACTTTACCAGCTGCCACACTCGTTGTTGGTCCAATTGTTACTGTAAAAACCCCATCATCTAATATAGTTGGTAATTTTTCTTCTACTTCTTTGACTTCCATTTCTTCATCGTCTCCCACATCTTCATCTTTATTTTTTCTCCTTCTTTGCTTGATTTCTTTTCTTTCATTAAGAGATACACTTCTCCAATTGAGTTTTTCTAAATCCAGTTGAAGCAAGTTATTAAAAAATTGTCCCGATATATTTTCTTCATCTTCTTCTATATCAAAGACACCTCCGAAACAATAAGCTGATAAGTTATTTGGAGACATGACCATTGGCATGCTACAACGAGGAGAAAAAGTAGATCCACCCAGTTTAACTTGTTGCCATTTGAATTTTTCTGCATTATGCTCTGAAAAACATCCATTTTGATTATCTTGGTTTCAAAAATGCTAGTTAAAATAAGCTGTTCTTGTTATAAAACTACACTTACTCTCTGGAACTAAAATAAATGCATCTGTGTATACACATCCTTTATCTACATCCTTTTTCACCTTCTCCTTACTGTACCCTCCATATATCAAAATCCTTCCGTCAGAGAGAGCTGCCATACAACACCCCGACCTAGGGGCAGGTGGTGTTCCAACTGGTTCAACTTTAGTCCACTTGTAAGTTTCTATGTCAAAAACATGGATATCATTGAAATACTTGTAATCTCTTAAATTATCATGGAATCCACCAAAAACTACAAGTCGCTTTTTTAATATAATCATTCTGTGGCCACTTCTTGCACTTGGACCATTCGTTGGTGAAATTTTTTCCCACTTCTTTTCGCCTAAATGATAAACCCATAAGTCTCGGTAGTGATAGAATTGTGATTGAGTTGGACTGGCAAATTCGCCACCAAAAATCCACAGTTGACCATTGTTAGCTGAAGTGGTTACCATTTGATGGCCACATCTTGGAGGTGGTGCACCAGGTGCTTTTACTATAGTCCAGATATTATTTGGAATATTATAAAAGAAAAGCTCATTGTAGACGTATGTCTGCAAAGAACTGTAGAAATACAATGCTTTATATATGTCTTACTGAGCTCTTACTTTTTGTCCATTAAAATATTCCCCTCCATACAAAATTAATTGATCTTTGTTGGGATGACTTACAAAACTAAAATTTAATCTTGAAGATGGTGGATCAACTTGAGTCTCGGTTACATGCAAACGTTGCTTTTCTTCCTTTTCAATTTGAGCAACTATAGTTTCTATGTCATCCTGTAAGGCCAAATGAACTTTCAGATTAATTTTGTTACACACTATTATATCCCAGTTTTTACTTCACCAATAGCAATCAATTCCTTTTTAATTTTATTCGCTACTTTTTTTTCTGTTTTGGCCAGCGTCTTCTCAACTCCTTTACCTTTTTTCTTGCCTTTTTCTTTTTTGCCCATGTTGGGTGACTGCATAAATTTAAGGCAAATACAACATAACGTCGGAAAACTTATTATACCTACCTAGGTGGACACTCTTCAAAAACAATGAAACCGTAGAAACGAGAGACGTTATGTATTGCTCTAAGTATTCCTTTATTACAACTAGATGTGCTGGAACTAGAATTGTTGGGTTTATAGTTGAAATTTGCACCTTTCGGGAATTACAATCGGAGTGATGAAATATTTGGCGAGGCAAACAGTAATCCGTAAATGTGAGGTTAGAAACACAGGCAACCAAAACTAACCTTGGCATTCTGTGACATAAACGCTTTGCTTGAAAGCTATAGTTTTAATTTAGAATTAAATGAAATGTTTAAAATGTTTGGCCAGTTCTAAGTTGATAATTTGCAAATTTGTTTGCGGTAAAACTTAAAAACAAACTAAAACAGTATTTAAATCTTCAGAGATCGAAGATCTGACGCTAGATAAATCGCTTATATTGGTATAGACGCTGAAATGGGAAAAAGAAGTGAGAACACTAGAATGTCTAAATCTTCGCATTATCCCTCATCCCACTATTTAAGTAACGTAAAATTCTGTAATCGTTCTTAGAAAAATGAGTGTAATAGCCTATTACTTTTATTTTATTAAAAATTTAGAAATGAAACTTCCGAATGTGCTCGAAGTGTCAAGTTACTATTTTAAATATAATAAATATAATTATTGCTTTTTCATATTGCCGTAAAATTTTAGATTACAAATCTTACATCACAAATTTAATGTAGATGACTTTTGGATACCAAAAAATATCCGTGAATCTTTCCTATATCTGGGAATCTCTTATAATTTACAATTTTGATAATTGGGAAAAGATTCCAGATTGATAGAAGCACAAAATGGTTTTATGGTACAATTTATTATAAGTTTACCCACACTTTTTCATAGCTTGTAACAAAAAAAAGAAACGAAGGTTTCATATTAATAGATACTGAGTGATTTAATATTAGTTTTGTTGTATTCATATTTAATGTAAACAAGGTAAACATGAATTTTTTGAACTTTTGATCAAATTAAGAAAGGCAAAACTGCGATTTATTATCACCGCATATCGCACCTCTATTGTTATCCGAATCTGTGCCGATCCATTGTTCTTGCGACCTTAACAATTACAGCGTAACAACAACAATAATAACTAATTTGTTGAGAAAATTGCGACAAAAAAAATTATTGTGCGTTATTTGAAAAGGCGCGTTTTGACGCTGAAATATCTCTAAATCTAATAAGGGATCAGCGTGGCAGGTGTTTTCTTGACACGAAACGCATTGTGCGCAGCGCCGTTTTGCATAAAATGTTAATTAGACGCGAAAAGCTCACAACGATTTTGTTAATGCTAAACAATGAACAGGCGAAGATATATAAAAAGTGGTTAACAATTGAAAACGCGCTGTACAAAGCTTTTGTGTTTGACATTTCTTGCGAATTTCTAAAACTCACCTAGACCAAAGAAACGTGCGCGAAGATTCGCAAGAAAATGGAAGTATATTAAGGGAATATTCTGTAAATTAAATTAATAACAAATGTTATATAGTATATGCTCAAATGCTCAATTTGCTCTTGCAAATTTAGTCTACTTTTAGATTTTGTGAAGTAAATTTCAAACAAAACAAAAAAAAACAATTTGACATATCTGTGTCTAGTATCTCCGGTTTAGAGATTGCCCATTCTTTATGAATTACCCGGGATACATTTTAATTAAATTTATGAAAATATCCCGTCCTTCTTTTGCACCATTAAATAAACAATATGTTAATAGGAACCTATTGGGAAGTAAAAAAATGCATTTTTTAAAATGTAATTAGTTACTGTTCCTATCTATCCATATAGGATGGAATAGCGCATATTGCGTTTCGCAAGGAAGGTAATAATAGTATATTATGCAACAAGTGCGGTAAACGGCATTTTAAAAAGTTTACCGAACGTGTTGCATACTATACTTTTTCTACGACCGTTAGTTTTTGAGTACATTTTGGCAAAACACGAATACATTTACTGACATGACTGTCAGAATTGACAAACGTCAAAATTCAAAGCGTGGGAAATATTTTCGAAAACATCCGATTGCTTCCAAACCCCACGAATTCGAGCACTTCGGACATTTCGGGGATTTTACAGCACGGATTTGTGCTGTTTTGCGAAAATGTACCCAAAAACTAACGGTCGTAGAAAATGTATAGTATGCAACACGTTCGGTAAACTTTTTAACTCACCCGTTTATTAAAAACTCGCTCCGCTATTTTCCTACTCCCGCCTATAAAATACCTAATTACACACCGATCTAGCGTGCGGGAAGCGTCACTTTCGTTTCCTACGGATCTCAGCCACTTCGGACATTTCCGGGATTTCACCGCACGGGTTTGGGAGCAATCGGATGTTTGCGGAAATTTTATCGCACGGCTTGAATTTTGACGTTTGTCATTTCTGACGGCCATGTCATTTAGTGTATTTTTGTTGTTGGGCCAATATTAGTATATTGTGCAACAAGTGCGGTAAACTTTTCAACTCATGTGAGTCAAATGCCGTTTACCGCACTGTTACAAATCTTCTGGATTCCTCCTTTTTCGGTTGTTGATAAATCAAAGTTGCTAAAGTTTCACCAATCAGCCTGTTGGCTTCTTCAGAGCTTAACTGAAACTCGGCTTCAGTTCAAGAGGAATCCAGAGGGTTTGTAAATGTAGGCTGTAGGCTGTGGAAGTTTGGTTGAAAAATTAAGGAATGAATACCTATCAAACATATATGTGATTAAATCGTTTTTCTAAAGTAGATAAACCTTCATGAGTTTTCCATTTTTTCGAGTAGAATATACTTAAGAATTCACTTTTAACATATTTGCTTTTTATAACAAAACATCCCGTATATAGGTACCGAAATGTCTCAATACTGTCAAATTTGTTGTTACTTTTTGTAGTTTGCCTTTTTATTCATATCTAAATGGCGAAAGTGATAGAACTCACAATTTGTCAAGATTTTCTTTGCCGGTTTCACTTTCCCCACTTTATGCTTCGCCTGCCAACGACAGACGGACACGTAGAATTTTCCATTAAACAACGGCAATCGATTGAATTTGGTACGTGGTACGCAACTGTTCGTTAGAAAATAATCGAATAAAGCTAAAATGTTTCCGATACATTGCATTCTTTTACGGATTTCGTATAGCATTTTGCCGCAATTCTCGACCATTAGCGGCAATCAATTCGCTTCAAATGCCTCATTTTGGTTTGTTATTTATATCGAACCTGCGTAGGTACGTGACTATTGTTTTCATAAATTGGGCTGCGATTTTGCAACATCATTGCTGCTTAATAGACCTCCCGAGATGCATTTCTGTTGGGCAATAAAAGTCGAATATTAGGTATTTGCTTTATTTGTATAATTTAATTCGTTATGTTTAGAGGAATACATAGCAATTTTTACATATCCTCTTCTCTCTCCTCGTATATCTAAATTTTACAACAACCCATGGTATACAACTACAATCTCGTCGGACTCAAAATTTGATAATTATTGTGCATTATTAAAGTTTATGCAAAACTAGGAAAGAGAAATTTGGGATGATATTCTATATTTTAGAAATATCTTGGCAATAGATCCAGATCTACACGAAACTAATGCCAATCTTAAAATTTACTTTATTACATACAGATTTGGACCCTATACCAAATTTTAAGATCCTTTCAAACGGAAGAGTTTTGAAATGAAAACTATTTTTTGTGAAACTAGGGACGTAAATAAGGTACCATTTACAAATCTTCTGGATTATTCCTGCGGCTGTTGTTTATAGACCAAACTTGCTGACGTTTCGCCCATTCTTCTGTTGGATTCTTAAGAGCTTACCCAGGAGGAATCCAGAAGATTTGTAAGTAGTATTACAGTAGTCTGTGGAAATTTCTTTGAAAAATTAACGTAGATAACGTTATTTGCAACAGTACTTTGTTTTACTGATTTACGAAGTGCAAAACGGTAGTAGACGTACCTCGTCAGAAATAGTATATATTACCGTAGATGACCGTCAGAATTGACAAACGTCAAAATTCAAAGCGTGGAAAATATCTCCGACAACATCCGATTGCTCCCAATAAAATAAATAAAACTGACGTGGTAAAGTGAGGGTTCCCGCACGCTAGATCGTTGGGTTATTAGGTATTTTACAGACAGGAGTAGAAAAAGAGATTTTACTTGACTCATTTTACCTGCTAAACTCAAGTAAAATGCCATTCTTCTGAATATTATGTGCAATATGCTATAAAGAAACTATTTGCTTTTAACGCCAATTTACATAACGGTGCATTATACAGGGTGTCCAAAAATTATTTTGACCGAAGTTTAATAATCTTGGAAACTGTATTTCTACTTATGCACACACGTCTAACGAGAACATGTATATGTTGATGGTTTTTTTCGAACTTTATCCGCGGTGCGTCGCTATCCTTTATGGCCAGAATTTGAACTTATCGGATTCCTTCGATTTGAATTTTTCTTTCAGAAATGGTTTTTGTTTTAAATTATCAAATTGGTAACGTTTTACAAAATCCAAAAACTGTTTTGATCAGCCTAAATTTAGTATTAAGGGAAGTTCCATATTCTAATGTATAAAACATATTCCATCGTCAACAATATGTAAAGGCAACTTGTTCACCATTTTGACTTTGACTTATCGCATGTGTCTCAAACTTATGTAAAAACTAGATTTCAAATAACTTCGAAAATTAATTTTGTTTTTCTATTCTCATCGTTTATGAGTTTTTTGCGCTACTTACTGGTGTAGTGAGTCGAATTTAAAATATAAAAGCCTTGCTTTTTTCACATTTGGCGCAGAAGTGTTTTTCGTTCATTACGGCGTTTAATATTATGTTGCAACTGACCATTTCAGTTTTGCATCGCGTGCAGCTTTTTTTCGTAGACTCTGTAGTAATTGTTTCCTGTGCAATTTGATTTTAGTCGAAACATGCTAAAGCAATTATGTCCTCTAACAAAATGTTATTTGCGATGAAAAAAAAAATTAAATCCATGTCTTGATCTTTGATCTATGGTTTGATAAATGGTTCGTTCGTAAAATGCTCTAAAATATCAAGAATATTAAATGCTTTTGTTAAGTCTTTTTTTTTTATTTTTTGGTGACCCATCTCTAGCCAAAAATATTACATTTATGTGCTAAACCTCAGGAATGTGAAAGGATCTTAGAGGAATCCGAAGAATTTCAAAGGAATTCTACAAAGAATTTCGGTTTACGATTTACGCATCGAATTAAAACACTAAATGGCAGTGTTTCCTTAGATTAAATGTAATATGGTGCTGCGGTGTTCCCTAGGTCAATAACAATAACTTAAAATATCTATCATGTCAGTGTACCCAGTATCGATATACAATTTCGCTATTTCTCGCCATTAAAAATAATTAAAAAATTATTCCCAGAGATTTATATTGCTCGAAGTTGTTCGCGGCAGTGCGTCTCAAATCAACATCTTCTAAATGTTAAC